ATAGTGTTTGCCATGGGGCTTTGCCCATAATTACTCAATAAACTGTTGTTGATTGGTCACTGGCTGTGTTATAAAATAATTACTTATTAACCCTCACCTGTTCAAATCTTATTTTTAAGGATCTCTGAATTCAGATTGAGTTGATCAGAATAGTATGTATCATTTTTTAAAACACCTTTCACACTATCTCATTTGAGCTTTATAAAACCTATTAATCCCTCTGTAATATTAATACCTCTAAATAGGCAGGTATTTACATTATAATTTTACAGATGATGTTACTAAATCCCTTCCCCATATCTAAGTGCTAGAGTTCAGATTTAAAACCAAGCTATCAGATTCCAAACTGCATGGTTGTGGTTTTTGGGTTTTTTTTTTTTTTTTTGGAAAGGTTTGCTTCTCATAACACCACTTGAAGTAAGAGTTAAAGAAATGAAACGTGTAGGAACAAATCAACGCCTTCCTCATATCATCTTCTCTTTAATAGCTGCTTAGCTTGGCACTCCCAATTTCTCATTTTCTGTACATGGAGTCTCTTTATCTTTGAATCTCTCTATCTTCAATTATTGCATTGTTATATAATGTCTGGCTTGGGTTCTCTGACCGTACTTTCAAAATACCTCTTCAGTTACACTATGCCCTCTAGAGAATAAAAAAGATAAAGAAAAAATTGTTTTGTTGTTCATATTTCCTCCATTTTTTTTGGAGACATGGCTATGTATTTTATAATCCCATTTTTTAAAGCTTTTATTTAAATTCCAGTTAGTTAACATATAGTATAATACTAGTTTCAGGTATACAATTTAGTGATTCAGTGCTTCCATACATGACCCAGTCCTCATCACAAGTGAACCCCTTAATTCCCATCACCATTTCACCATCCCCCCACCTACCTCATCTTAGTATTTCAGTGACTAAATATCCCTCCAAATTTCCTTCACAAACTCCAACTCCAGCATCCTTACTTCCCCTAGCTACTTCCCATCTCCTCTCAACACTCACCCTTTGAATAAATAGCTGTTAAAAGAGTTTGTTTTGTTGTCTTTAACCAATGCCAAATCTTTCAGTTGGTTGCAAAACTCTTACAGATAAGTCATGGTTTTTTTTTTCTTTCACAATCTGAATTTGAAGGACTTTTTTTCCTTTTAACGTTCTCAACATTCCAATCATATTTAAGCCCCAGTTTTTAATAAGGCTGTATGGTTTCTTCATGGGAATAAACATTTTAATAAACTTATGACTATGTATATGTAAGATCGGCAGCCCCAAAATTTAATAATTAAACAGAGCAAGCATGACCCATTCAGATTAATTTAGTTCTCGGATTTTCACTAAGTGTGATCCATGTCACACATTAGTATTTGCCAGACTAAATTTGGAAAGATACATTCTATAAGAAGATTTGAATGAGGTCCCAGGTTAGGAAAGAGAGAAGAAAGTTGAATAATGTTCTAGGCATTGAGGTGAGTGATTTGAATCGAGATGTGATAAAAGAGGTAAAATGTAGGTTCCAATGCCCTTAAAATTTAATTGGTTTTCATTGAAGTATAACACATACTAGAAAGTGCACATAACATAATTATGCAGCTCAATGAATTTTCATAGAGCGGATATTTGTATAACCTGCACTCCAATCAAGATAGAACATTACTTCAGACACAGTTTATCCCCAGCCCACCAATGCTCTTTTCCAGTCATTACCTTTTCCTGCTCCCCAAAAGTAACCACTATCCTGACATCTAAAGCCATAATTTGGTTTTGTCTGTTTTTGGATATAATGTCAATTGGATCACAAAGTATATCTTTTTGTATCTACCTTCTTTTGCTCACCATTAAGTTTCTGTTTTGTAATTCATAGTGTGAATATGCCACAATTTATTCATTTTTTCCCCGCTGCTGATGGACACTTAGATTGTTTTCAGTTTCTATCTATTATGAAAATGCTGCTAAGAACACTAGCCTGTAGGTCAGCTCTCCTTGTTACCACCACAACTTTCTCTTCTCTATAAGCACCCATAGCATATGAAAGTTGTTTTATAGGGCAGGCATCTTTGATTCTTACTAGAGAAAAAAATATGAAAGGCCACAGATCAGAATTCTAATATTCAATATTGTTTAGTCAACAACCAGTTGATCCACTACGTCAGACTCCGTGTACATAATAATGAATAAGACATAGTTACGACCCTCAGGGAATGCTTAGAGAGCCTTGTTCCAACAAATCTGAAATGCAGAGGGCTTTTTGGGGGAGGGCAGTTACCCTCAGTGATGTTTAATTGTAATTCATGGTTGAAGGAGTAGTTGCATAAACAGGTTATTTTTGGAGAGTCTAATAAACTTCACAAGCAGCTGGTTGCCAAAATTATCTGTAGAACTTGTAAAAGATATTATGAGCCCTAAATCCATACATCAGATTCTGATTCATTCTGTAAGTACTTATTACTGAGCTGTGTGCCATCTAGTCAGCCTGCTGTTTTGGTACCTCTCACTGTTGTACAGTAAAAACCTAAGTTTGGAGAGAGTTTTCATAGGCTTTCAGAGACTTTTTACCAGTTTTCATGTACAGTGATGAAATAAGAAGAGAAAACTTTGTATGTGTGCATGTTGCATATATGTGCATATATATAATTTCCCCTCTCATGGCCGCAACTATACAGTAGAAGAAGAAGGGAAAACAGTAATATGCAGGGGCTCCTGGGTGGCTCAGTTGGTTGAGTGTCTGCTTTGGCTCAGGTCATGATCCCAGGGTCTTGGGATTGAGCCCCGTGTCGGGCTCCTTGCTCAGCGGGAAGTCTGCTTCTCCCTCTCCCTCTGCATCCCCCCTTGCTTGTGATCTCTCTCTCTCTGTCAAATAAATAAATACAATCTTAAAAAAAAAAAAACACAATAATATGCAACTGAAAGAGTTAGTAATGTGATTGGCTTGTCTCTCTGGGTTCTCTGGCTCAGGTTTATGGAGCAGTGATGAACATGAATCGTGGGAATCCCTTTCAAAAGGAAGTGGTAGTGGATTCATGGCCAGACTTCAAAGCTGTTATCACACGGCGACAGAAAGAGGTAATATTTGAAAGGCCAGAAAAACAAAACAAAACAAAAAAACACCCCATGAAAACCCAAGAGTTGGCATCAACTAGAAAGAAAAGATTAGGTAAAGGGGATATTATAACCATCACAGCCATATATATTAGCTTAAGAAGCTATATATTTCACCATTAGTTTTTTTTTTTTTAAGATTTTTATTTATTTGAGAGAGAGAGAGAGAGCATAAGAGAGAAAGCCAAGGGGGAAGGGGCAGAGGGAGAAGCAGACTCCCTGCTGAGCAGGGAGCCTGACAAAGGGCTCCATCCCTGGACCCTGGGATCATGACCTGAGCCGAAGGAAGAGGCTTAATCATTGAGCCATCCACGTGCCCTTCACCACTATTTTCTAATTTGACTGGCTTTGGAGTTTCAGACATATGGAAAAACCACTAGTCTAAATGTGTTCAAAAAATTGTTTCTTTAGTGTTTCACAATCTCTAGAAGCATGAAACTTACATACTTGGGCATTCTCATTTTTCCTCTGGTTTGATGATTCCTTGTAACCAATGACTTTGGTCATGTGGGTAAATACATAAGAAGATTGAAAAGGATGACATCTGCCCCATTCTACGAGGACAAAGAGAAGCTCACATGATCAAATGTGCTGCCCAGACCACATTAGGAAAGTTCTGAAAACTTTCTATTTAATTCTTATAGGTGGCTCCATTAAGTTATACCCTTTTCATTTTTATAAATAAATAAAATCCCAGAAAAATGTGAAATAAATATCTTAAAACTTCTCAAATACCAGAAGAATAATCAAGCAAACATTCCAAAATTTCTGTTCCTTTCCTCACTATAGTATATTAGCCACATTCCCATCTAGCCATTGTTTATAGGTGGCTAAATTCTGGTAATGGGAGTGATCTAGACCTATGCAGCCAATGTATCTAATCTATCTAGGATTTGAGTTACCTAGAGGATATATTTATGTTTTTACAATTATGTCTTCTGTCCCAGGCTGAGACAGATAACCTGGACCATTATACTAATGCCTATGCTGTGTTCTACACGGATGTCACAGCTTACCAACGGCTGTTGGAAGAACATGATGTTATCAACTGGGATCAAGTTTTTCAAATACAAGGTGAGATGAAGTGCAAGACACTAGGCAGTCTTCTTTTCTCATTTTTGTCATATACATCAGATATGATACGATATCTATTTCACATATATAATATATACACTTAAGTGCACAAATTCATATATATACATCTTATATAGTTACAATTTTTGTATTACAGTTTTGTAAGAACTCTTGCTTTACTCCTAATGAGGCTTGGCCTTTGGGGTTAAGTAGAGGCCATTTAAATTGGGCTGCTTTTATAAATAAATAAATAAATAGACAGATAGATAAATAAATAAATAAATAAATAGGGCTGCTTTCAAGTGACATCCCCCCCACACACTGTTATTGT